TTTATACATTTGTAAAGAACACTTGATATGATTTATTCAAATAATGCTCTGAAAAATGTGGTCCAGGTGTGTTTAGCCTAGATTACGAGCTAACAAGCTAGTCCCCAATCCATCCTGTAGTCAGCTGTGACAGTAGAGTTAGATATTAATGAGATAAACTATAAGAGTCATTTATTACGTGAACAAATGGTGCCAAAATGTGAAAAAGTGAACGTTCTTTGCTCTAATATGGGACTGTTTACTTTGGCTGTAAGCTCCTTCTTGAAAAGCCTGGATTCAGCAGCACAAAGTCTTTGTCACATTTGCTTGTTTTGACAGTCGAGTCAAACCTGGAAACCCCACCATGAGAACCAACAGCTCCAACACTAACTGCTGCTAGAAGCCACAAAATCCCCCCTTTACACACACTTTCTATTTCTATACCTGGCTAATAAGAGGTACAACATGTGAATGTAGGCTTGGATGGCATCTGGTAGCTAGCTGCTTTCATTTTGGACCACCAAGGTGTTAAAATACCCAGATTTGTGAAGCTTTTTGGCCAACAAGTATGAAGGAGAAACTATGGTGGCTGCAAAACATGTGAAAAACATTGTGCCAGTGTTTCGTTTGTCCTTTCTGGGCTACTGTAGAAACATCCCCTTTCAAACCATTGACATTTACAAAGATGGACGACGTGAGAGCTCCCCCAAAACTCCAATCTCCAATTCTAAATCTGCCATTTTAGGTACTTTTTATCACTCTGATGTTAATTTTTCTTATTATTTGAACCTATAAAAAGGGGGTTTCACATCATGATTGACAGCTGAGTCCTGCTTTGATACAGCGGCGATAATACGGATAAAAACCCCAAAAAAGACTCTGTATAAGAGTGAAAGTAATGTTTAAATGTAAGATATCAGCTGCTATTTCTGCCTCCAGTGGTTTGCATTTGATTTTAGTATTTCTGGATATTAGATGGAGTCGGGGCAGATTAACCTTTGTGTGTTTATGTCGGTGTGTGTGTGTGTGTGTAAAATCTGAGGAATGTGTGTGTAGAAATGTTTCTGTTTTCTCAGTCAACCGTAGAAGCAGGTTTAAACACAAACACAGACTGCCTTCATTTGGAAATACCTCTGTATATATGTGTGTGTGTGGCTCTGTGTGTGGCCCTGGCTGTATGCTAATCATAATTACTATTCATACACACACACACACACACACACACACACACACACACACAGAGGCAGCATGAGGCTGTGTACCTGTACGATCAGCAATAATAAACCACATCAGGGACTCGTGTTCATCTGAACCTACAAACACAAACACAGAAGAAGGAAACGGAAATGAAAACAGAAAAAAATAAATTAATCCAACAAGCTCAGCTCAGTCTTAAAGGGGAACACACGCAGGTTGTAGGAGAATGTCGGGATCTAGTTTCCCCGTCTCTTGCCCACCTCAGCGTCGCCTAAGCCCCGCCCCTGCTGCCCATATTAGGATTTTCTTGCTCCAGTAAGAGATGAAAGTGGTGGTGAAGAAACCTCGCACACATTTTTTGACTGGTTGGGGACAGGAGCGTCTCAGCTTTCCTGTCATTCATAATTTATGCATGGGATTAGCGTAAAGTGTCTGTGAAGAGGAGACTTGTAGGTACCCATAGACGCCATTCTCATTCAGATATCTTTAGGTCAGAGGTCAAGGGACCCCTTTGATAATGGCCGTGCCAGTTTTTCCCTCTACAGAATTTAACCTAACTTTGGAGCGTTATTTAGCCTCCTTCCTGCTTACTCCTGACACCTTTCAGAGTAAATCTTTAACAACAAATCCCAACTGAACTGAGTATTCTGAATTACACTGGATACACAGCAACCTCTCTGGCTGAGAAATTAAGCCTGCAGTTCTTCTAATGGCCACTAGAGGCTGGCTCCAGCAGTGAGTCTCCATAAGGCCCCATATTAAAATGTCTTTACAGCAAATATAAACATGTTTACAGCCTTTTGGTCTCTAGAGCTAATTCCCCCCGTTCATGACGACGGTACAGGAGGTGAATTTATATACAACTCACCTGTTTTAAAAAGCTGTGCTTCTTTCTCCATCGGTCTGCAGCAGTAACTACAGCAGCAATGACACAATGAGACTAACTCAAGCAGAACCGGGACCAGGAGTTGAAATATGACCACATCCGGTTTAAACAGCCACTTTGTATTTTGAAAATGTCAGAAATACATTCAGCATCCTCAATAACCCCCAAAACCATATATATATAAATATATATATATATAAATATATATCCTATATTGTCCAAATCGGCCAAACTGTTGTTTACATAAGTTAGCACCCGGCAGTTTCTGTATGCTGGGGACCTAAATTTTACATTTCTAACATAAAACGTTGGGGTACTCAACATTTCCGGATTCATGTGTCTGGCTAGTCGACTATAAAGCTTAAAGTTATGAACAATTAAGAACGTGGTTGCTTTGAGTGACAGGTGTCAGCTGTTTTCAGTAACCAGGCCTCATTCAGCTTCACGTCTTTGCCCATTTTTGGATCATCTGGCAGAGTCAGAACTGCCAAGATGGCGTCCACACTGAGCTTCCCAGCGGCGATAGCTGACATTATCTTACATGCAGGACTCCTGACGATCCTCCACCCACTAACATAACCTACTGAACCCAATCAGCAGGCACCATTTACAGCGTGACATTATAAAAATTAAGATTTTCCAAAACCTTCTGGATCTCCCACGAGCCCCCTTAAACTGACTACATCAGAAACCTCTCAGCTCTCATCCAGTCATATCCTTCCAAATTCCATCAATAATAGTTTGGCGGAAAGCTATTGTTGTTACAAATCATCCTCTGGACACACACACACACACACACACACACACTCAGCACCAGACTGAAGCAATTTCAATTTAATGGTATTTTCACAATGCGGCAGCTTCATTCCACGGAGCGTGTGTGTGTGTAACAGCCACCTGCATCCCAGAGATGGATGAGAGGACCTAATTGAAGCCATGTGTTGGCTCGGAGAATGCTCTAGTCTCTGCTGGTGATGAAAGAAAAGAGCGTGGCACAGTTAAATGTTTCTTTAATAAACTGAAAAGACGGAAAAAAAAGATTAGGCTAAACATCGAGCTTAAACACAAACATTTACATGAAACACTTTCCCAGTCTGAAGCTGACATTCCCACCATTGTGGAGCTGGCCTTTCCATTATAGAGCTATTATTCCCAGTATACAGCTGGCATTCCCATTATGTAGCTGTGTTACCAGTCTGGAGATAATATTCCGTTTCTAGAGCTGGATGTATCCGGTATTCCCAGTCTAGATGTGACAAACCCCAGTATTGAGTTAGTATTAGCAGTCTGGAACTAAAACGTTCCCAGTTTAAAGCTGTCATTTCCAGTCTAGAACTAACCATTCCCAGTACGTAGGCACTTATCGTTCCCAATATATGGATATGGATCTGGTACTCCGTCTAGCAGTTTAATTCCCAGTAGAGCTGGTATTCCCATTCTAGGACAACTCCATAGATAGATAGATCTTATACACCCCGTCTAAAGCTTTCATTCCAACTATACAGTTAGTATTCCCAGTCTGGCCATTACCAGTGCCGGTCTGGTATTCCCTTTAAAAGCTGATATCCAAATCCAGATTCAAACCAAATATTCCAAGTTTCTCTTATTATTACTGGTCTAGAACTCACGATTCAGTGTATTTATTTGGTGGTCCCAGTCTAGATGTGACAGTTTCAAATACAGAGTTTAGTATTAGCAGTCTAGAGCTAGAACCAGTATTCCCAGTCTGTGTGTCTGTGTGTATGTTCTTTCCCACTTGCTGTCATTTATAACTCTTCCCTCTCTCTCTCTAAGGGATTTAAACTACAACAGTCTGGTCGAGTTTCCGACAGCGATCCGCTCGCTCAGTCACCTCAAGGAACTGTGAGTCTGAACTATTTCTGCGTTTGACTGAAAATCACAACATTCCCGTATCCAGGACGGATGAAACCGGCTCTCTATGATCCAGTTTGTGTGTTTGTACAGTAATCAGTAAGCTAACTAATGAATCTTCACTCTGTGTCGCTAAAAGTTGAAGATTGATTGACGGGTGAATGTCAGGATATTATT